AAAGTTTCTATTATACCCACGTTATTTTGGTGCATATAATAGAATAATAATAGAAACTTAAAAGGATTTTATCTGGTTTTACCTTGAAAAGAGGACTACAGCGTGTGATTTTAACACGAACTAAGACAGTGTAGCAGTTTCAATACAATTTAATAAAATAATTGTAACATATCAAGACACCTGAAGATGGCCGTTTGGGGCCGAAACATGTAGTGTCAAGGTGTATAATATTAAACTAAAAATTGAGTAGTGAATGGAAAAGTGTTGCAATTTTGACGGACGATAAATAATGAACGTTAAGTTGAACAATTGCAACGAGATGCTGAAATACAGAATTACGGAAGCCTTATTCCAACGCTGCATTATTTCTGTCGCCAGTCTGTACTACTTGCAGCTTTCTCTTCCTGTCCATATAAATCGTTCACATGGCCATGAAGAGCAAGATCAAGGTCTTTTGCAATGTGAACCAAGTAGTGTGGTAGATAGGTATCGACGTTTCGGAGAGGAACCTACCTACCAAACTACGTGATCTTAACATATTAATCCTGTTTTCAGAGTTCGTGTACTCCGTCTTTTTCCACTGATGTCTTTTATTTTTTAGAATTTATGGCTACAGAGATACTAGCCCCAAAAATGATGACGGAACCCAATGACATAGTCGAAAGCTGCTTCTTCGAACGTGACGGGTTTGACGATGCTCTACTCTTGGTATTCTTTAGTCTCTTAGACTAATAACCCGTTGAATATTCGTTAATAAGAAATGTTTAGATAATAAATAAGTAAACATTACTCTTCTGGCGCTAAACAACGAAGTTGCGCCCATTTGGTTTGAATGAACGTTGTGCTGACAACAAGAAGAATGTGTGAGTAATTCTGGTTTGAGTATGAGAATGCATGATAGAACAGAAGTGAACAACAAGGTACATTCATCTTAACTAAGTCTAAGACTAAAATGCGTATCACAGTCGGAAACTATGAACACTGCTGCAGTTTTACTCTTGTAATTACTCGTATATCTTAACCTACACTCCCTAACATAATGTTCTGGTGATGTCCCTGCGCTTAACTAATTAAGCATTACGCCATGAAGGCTTATGCGGGATGGATGTATAGATACGCATTTTCTTGACCTCGGCACTAGTAGGAGATGAGTGGTCAGCTTCACGCCCCAGCCGCTTTACCCCCATTGTATAGGAGGCTGGGTGGGCCCCAGAGCCGGTTTGAACGACGTGTAGAAGAGAACATCCTTTACTCTACCGGGACTAGGACTCCGACCTTTCGGCCGTTCAGCCCGAAGCTAGTCGCTTTACCGACTACACTACCCCGGATCATATTGTTTGTTATTATTTTTAGGTATGTACTGTACATGAGAACCATACAAACCACACCGTATGTGTGAAATCCAACAGCTGCAGTTATGAACCGGATCTAAATACATTAATCACAAGGAGATAATGAGGATAATCCTTTGAGGACAGAAGCGCGTTTGCCTGTATGTAAATACAAATAATATTTATTGAATGGATGTAGTAAAGATGAGATATTGAAGAAAGAAGATATGGTTAGATTTATAAAGGCAAGAAGAATCGAATGGCTGGGACATGTAGAAAAATGGATGCTAACAGAATGCCAAGGAAAATCTTGTATGAGAAAATCTATAGTAAAAGAGTAAGAGGTAGATCAAGATTGAGATGGTTTGATGATGTCAGAGAAGACCTTAGAATATTGAAAGTTAAAGGTTGGAGATCCGCTGAGATGGACAGAGATGCTTGGAGGCTGTTGGTGCAGGAGGACAAGGCCCACAAAGGGCTGTAGAGCCGGTTGGTTAGATTAGTTTGGAGTGGATGTGGCAAAGGCTTGTAGGACAGAATGCCGTTGAATGATAGCGAACATCTGCATTTGTGTTTAATGTTGGTTTAATACTAGGGAAGATTTCGTCGCCGTCTTAATTATAGAATATCACTTCCATTTCTCGCATTACCCACGTTTCCTCCTTTTACAAGTAATTCGAAAGGGCCACGCGGGATCGTAGTTGGTTGACGCACTATGCTACAAGCCGGGAGGTCGCGGTTTCGAGTCCCGATGAGGTGGATTTTTTCAATTGACCTAATCCTTCCAGCCGCACTATGGTCCTGGGGTCGACTCAGCCTCTGACAGAGTGAGTACCAGGAATCTTCCTGGGGGGTAAAGGGCGGCCGGCGCATAAGGCTGACAACCTTGCCGCCAGTAAAGGGATACCTTTACTTTACTTTTTACTTTATTGCGCTACTGAGAGAAGTATGGACAATTTGTCTCGTAAGATCACGCTACTTGACAGTAGCGACTTTGAGAGATTACTGCACTCTTCAGCAAGATACATGTCTCGGATATGAAAACTTTGTCGTACAAGATCACGCTAGTTGACAGGAGCCACTTGGAGAGGATACTGCACTTTAGAACAAGATACGCATCTCCGGTATGGACACTTTGTCGTACAAGATCACGCTAGTTTACAGGAGCCACTTGGAGAGGATACTGCACTTTAGAACAAGATACGCATCTCCGGTATGGACACTTTGTCGTACAAGATCACGCTAGTTTACAGGAGCCACTTGGAGAGGATACTGCACTTTAGAACAAGATACGCATCTCCGGTATGGACACTTTGTCGTACAAGATCACGCTAGTTTACAGGAGCCACTTGGAGAGGATACTGCACCTTTGAGCGAGATACGTGTCTCCGGTATGGACGCTTTGTCGTACAAGATCACGCTAGTAGCGACTTTGAGAGGATACTGCACTGTTGAGCAAGATACGTGTTTCGGGTTTGGAGATTTTGTCGTACAAGATCACGCTAGTTGACAGGAGCCACTTTGAGAGGATACTGCACGGTTGAGCAAGATACGTGTCTCCGGTATGGACAGTTTGTCGTACAAGATCACGCTAGTTGACAGGAGCAACTCCGAGAGGATACTGCACTCTCTGGTATGTCATGTAAGTGTGTTAATTGATAAAAATGGTTCTTGCAAGGACATTGCACTAGTGACCAAGCAACGTGTCTCGTGGCCTGAACAATACCCGTTACCTGATAGCAGCAAGGCGAGCAGCAGGTTCGCGGCAACCACAAGCTTCATACTGCGACCGGCACTTGTCACGCGGTGACTGATCACCCTCCAGCTGCTCGCTGCGTTATAAGCCACACCGAAGGACTGCCTTTTGATTCCACCTTTGTTGTGCGACGTCACATACAAGGCCGCTGTGGTAGCGTTACAGCTGGACTGATAGTGATAAGGGTGTACCAGCAAACAACTAAGCGCTAACAAGTCAACCAATGAAGCCGTAAACTGACCAGTCAACCAACCAATCAACCAACGCTTTAATATTAGAACTCCGAATAGAAAATATCACCATTCTTTAACTCTAGCCTAAGTCACTTCAATCCAATCCACGTTACTTAAACCTTCTACTAATACTACTACCACTACTAGTAATAGTAGTACTAGTAGTACTAGTAGTAGTAGTAGTAGTAGTAGTAGTACTTGGAGAATATGGGCCATTGGCCTGTTTTCGACTTCAGGAGAAAATGTCCGCCCGTCTAGCCGTGGTTCGTCCAGTACTGCTGTGCCCTCTGGGTTTTAAATTTAGTAATGTTTTTGAGAGTCTGTCCGTCCTCATTCTTAAAATATGTTCCTACCATGTAAGATTTGAGGCTTTCACTGCGGTGACTATGAAGAAAGCAGTCTTCTGGGATTTGGCACCGTGTATATGTGATGTTAACCGACGTTTCGGAGGAACGTATCGCCTCCATCTTCAGGGTAGAAGAAAAATATAAGAAATCCGCAAGCGAAGAGACCGTGAGAACCGGTAAAAGCAGTGGAGGCGATACGTTCCTCCGAAACATCGGTTAACATCACATATACACGGTGCCAAATCCCAGAAGACTGCTTTCTTCATGTTCCTACCAGTTTTCTTGTTGCCTTTCAATTCTCTCAGTTGAAGTGAATATTTTTAATTCTGAATGTATATCTGTATTTCGTTTTTGATCTAGGAGGGTGTATCCAACTCCAGCCACAGGACGTAGGAACCACACTTCAGCTGACCCTATTTTCCTTTTTTCTGATCGGTTTATTGTCCAGTTTTCACTTGCAGAAGTCAGCATAAGCACTGCCACTGCCTTATAAAATTTTACTTATGTGGTTCGTAAGGTTTCTTGTCTCAATGTTACTAAAACGTAGTTTCATATGTTTCACTTCGTCCTTCTGCCTTCTTGTTGATTCTACAACTGCCTCCTTTCCAACAGGTTTCCCTGCCTTTACTTCCCTCTGCTCGACTTCATCCGAGCTGTTTGCCCCTCTTTTCTTAAAATTTTCCCAAGCTTTCGTATTTCCTTACTTGGTCTGTCTTAGTTTCTGCAGCAAATACACAGCCCAAATAAGCCCATTTATATTGGGAACTACATGCTATATCTCCATCATTAAAGACGGCCGGAACGTGAACCCGACTCTTTGCTTCCATTCAGTGTTCACGTAATGAATTTGTCATCTTCCTTATCTACATCCGCCTGGGCTTGAAGTTGACGGCTCAGCTCCATCTAGTGCTATGCTCAAGAATAGTGGAGCTATATCTCTACTCCCTCATATGTCTGTATGGCGTTGTGATTGATTGATTGATTACGCACAGGGACAAATTTGCTCTTACGTCTTCTGCTGTCAGTTTGCGCCATATTAGCGAAGTACATAGAAATAGACGTGGCCTAACTTCTGTAACTTAAGGAAGCAGACCCTTAGACATACGAGTTCGCAATGTCCTCCTCTATGACCGGAGTTCGATTCCCGGAAGAGGCAGGGTCAGGTGTCCATCCAGCCTCCTATCCTATCCAGTTGGTACTGGAGTCTCTTTCTCTGGGATAAAGAGGCTGGAACGTGAAACTTTCGATTCCCTTCCATGTAATACGTAGATTGGAATTCTTAGAGTTATACTTCCACTCCCGTACGTCTTCACGATGTAGCACTTAATTAAGCACAGGGACAAGTGTTCTCATCCCTTTCATGGGTTTTGCATGCCACGCCCGTCTCGCTCGCCTTGATTTCATCACCTTAATTATATTTGTGAAGAGTACGAATTATGAAGCTACTCATTCTTGTCATTTCCTCAGTTTTGTGTCTAAGTATTCTGCATAATACCCTGATCTCAGACGCCCCTATCCCATTTTTTTCCCTTAAGGTGAGAAGCTAAATTTCACACCCATACAAAACAACAGTGAAGATTAGAGTACTGGATATTTTAATTTTTAAGTTTTTAGATAGTAGCGTAGTTCGTTGAGCCACTATGCCATAAGCTGGAAGGTCGCGAGTTTGATCCCCGATGAGATCATTGGATTTTTCAAGTCACTTAATCCTTCTAGCCGCACTATGGCCCTGGAGCCGATCAACCCCTAACAGAAATCTTCATGTGGGTAAAGGACAACAGGCACGTAAGGCTGACAGCCTCACCGCCATCTATGAGCCCGATTATCTATAAAATGTGGGAACCTCGATGTCTCACAACCCTATGGGCCTTCACTGCCCGTTACAGGGATAGCTTTAAGCTTTCTTTGCCTTTTCTTTAGAGGATATACAAAATATTATAAACTTAAATGGAGCAAGCATTCTCCATATACCATCTGCTTATAATTTCTTCATGAGAACCATTTTTGTCTGTTATTGTCTTTTCCAAATATTGAATGTTGCCTCATTTCCAAACGAGTTTACTAGCTGCTGGCAGAGAATCCTCTTAAAAATGAATCGTTTTGAAGGCGCAGACTGGCGTGGCGTAGCGGGAATACTGAAACTGATATCTTCGAAATACTACTAGATTAAATTTCGGATACAAATTGAGTTTTATTTGTGTCACTTATAACCCCTACATTGTGTTGTGGCACTTTGCCACAGTCCTTGCACACAATGTTTAACCCAGCTCGCTGTACGAGTATTGGGACCATCAGTCTGCTTGCGAAACAAAAGTGTTTCTGATCATCTGAGCGAAGAGACGCTCTCTAGCTTTCTGTTGCGTTTTGTTTGGATCCATCCCGGACCTGGATCTGTGTAGGCACCGCTGCTGTATGTGTTTGTCTTCTCTTTTTCCTTTTGTCAACTACCTGGAAGCATCGCCCTTCAGACCTTTCTGAAGCGAGAAATCCTCATCGCCTCCGATCTCAGTTGTCCGGTAGTTTCTTTGTTCCTGGTTTCAATAAGCCTCTCCTCTTCTATCTGGACTATTTTGTCTGTCTGCATTGTAGCAACATTGTAAATTCATTTGTGCAGGCAGTCTAGAGTTTTGGTTAAAAGTGAGCCAGTGTATTGATCTCACAACTTATTGTACATTCTTGTCCCCTGTGCTTTGAAATTCGCCTAAAAAACTTTATTCCGGCAGCTATGATTGTGTTTGTTGCATAGGCTTATTAGGTTTCATTGCTGAATAGAAGTACCTGTAATGTTAAGAGTATCATTAAGTTCTTATTCTTGTGTTTTTGTTCTCTAGAACAATACTGATTATACCGTATCATAAATAGTACTATTTTAAGCACATTGAATTTTTGCACTCTATTGTCAGACTAATCACATTTTAATGCCGTAAGAAAAAGAGCACCATTCAAGTTTAAGTGGCATCCAGTCTTTCAGAAGAGCTGAATGTGTCAATGGGTACAATGTAGTTCTTGACAATGTTAGGGAAAGACTTTCAGTAATAAAGCAGGAATCGAAAACTTTCATATAGAAATATTTGATCTTAAGAAGCTAAGAAATGTGGACAATGAAGAACTGTATCGTGTTAAAATGTCATACGTTCGCAGTGTAGCAGTAGACGGGCTTTCATGAGCAAAAAGACTTGATGACGCCAGGAATTTCTCATACTTGCGCCAGTGGTGATGAAGCGAATGAGGTGGGGATTGCAGACATGCGTGATGGGTCTGGAATGGATCCGCACAAAATGAGGGTTTTTGTTAAACTTATAGACCTGTATGCTTAATAGAGACGTCGGTTAACTTCGGAAATAGTCAGAAATGTTGGAAACTTTCTTCGAAAAGCTCTAACAATGTTGACTGTTTAGTGATGAGAACTTCGTCAGACTGTAATAGCTCATAAGGAAGGATCGTGCATTTCCAGAACCATGCAGTTAGGTCACTATTGCTAATGGGGTGGGACTAAGTCCCTTGTATTGAGGCCGCTACTGGCCTATTGTACCAAGTTAGGTCACTAAGTTTTTCGGCTCTTACAAACGACAAGTGGAGACACGCGGTAGCGTATTTTTGTTGAGATTATATGCTACAAGCCGGAATGTTCCGAGTTCGAGTAAGAATGAGGTGGATTTTTTAAATTTACCTAATCCTTCCAGCTGCACTATTATCCTGGTTTCGACTCAGCCTCTAACATGAGTACCAGGAATGTTCCTTAGGGGTTAAAGAGCGGCCAGCGCGTAAGGCTAACAAACTTACCGCCATCTGACAGCCGATTGTCTAGAGAAAATGTGGGAGCTTCAACGTCTCACAACCCTATGGGGCTTCATGGTTTGTTACAGGGATAGCTTTACCTTACCCGCTGGCCAGGACTATATATTAGACGCAGTTTTCGAAAACTTTGGCAACAGTAGAGCTGGAAAATTTATTGCAGAGAATGTGAAAATTTCTGCAAAAGGAGTTTAGTTTATCGGAACTTGAATAGAATAAACGATAGTTCCTCGAAGAATTCTCAAAATGATTCGATTAAAGGAACTTCAATTGTGCAAGAATTCAAACCAAAAGAACAGAGATAATTTTAACCCTGAACAATGTAAAACGCGAAAACAATTGAACTTTCAGAATAACAATGAGAACATACTAAAAACAAAATTAATGTTGTAAGATTTGAGGCTTTCACGCGGTTACTATGAAGAAAGCCGTCTTCTGAAATGTGGCGCCCTGTAGATAGTGTTAACCAACGTTCCTCCGAAACGTCGATTAACACAATGTCTACACGGCGCCACATCCAAGAAGACGGTTTTCTTCAAAGTTAATGATCTTCAAGCAAACAGTATGAAGAGAATCGCTCGGAAGATGTATAGGCTTAGAGGCACAAATCAATCTGAGAAGGATTGCCAGTATTGAATCATCATCATCATCATCAGTAATCTGTCAGACGACAGG